AACCCTACAGGCCATCGTGCGGCCCCTCCACGGCCTCCATATGCACAGGGTCGGGGGTGCCCTGCGGGCCTTCGTGTGACCCCCCCGAGGCCTCCAAGCGCACAGAGTCAGTGGTTTCCTATGGGCCTTCGTGTGGCCCCTCCAGGGCCTCCATGCACAAAGGGCCTCTGTGCAGTCCCCTGGCGACTCCGTGGGCACAGAGCCAAGGGGGTCCTATGGGACTTCATGTGTAACCCTGGGGTCGATGTGCACACGGGTTCGGGCGGACCATACGGGCATTGGTGCAGTGCGCTGTGACCTCTATGGGCATCGAACCGGGGGGCTCTATGGGCCTTCATGTGGCCCCTTGGGGCCTCCATATGCTTGGAGCTGCGGGGGCACTATGGGCTTTTGTGGAGTCCCCCAAGGCCTCTGTGCACATGGGGCTGGGGTGCCCTATGGGCATTCGAGTGGCCACCTGGGGCCTCCATGCACCTGGTGCTGATGTACCCTACAGGACTTTGTACAGTCTTCCATGGTCTCCATGCACATGGAGCCGGGCGGGCCCTACTGGCCTTCATGCAGTCCCCTGGGGCCTCGGTGCACACAGGGTCCAGAAGACCCTCCAGGCCTTCATGCAGCCCCAAGGGCCTCCAATTGCATGACCCCACAGGGGCTCGTGTGACAAGCCTTCGTGCTGACCCCGGGCACCGCTGTGCGCCCGCACCCAGGGAGGCCCTATGGGCCTTTGTGTGGACCCCCGGGGTCTCTGTGTGCATGAGGCTGGGATGTCTTACGGACCCTTCATGCAGTTCCCTGGACCTTCATGTGTGCTGTCCCAGAAGGACTCTATGGGCATTCTGGCTGTTTCCCTGGGACTTCTGTGCACACAGGGCCGGGGGGCCCTATGGACTTTCGTGCAGCCCCTTATGGGACCTCCTTATACACAGGACCAGTGTGGCCATATGGGCTTTCGTGTGGCCCTGAGGCCTCCGTGCGCACGCAGCTAGGGAGGCCATACAGACTGCCATGTGGCCCCCCCAGGCCTCCATGAGCACCAAGCTAGGGGGACCTACAGGTTTTCGTGCAGTGTCCCTGGTGCCTTTGTGCACACGGAGCCAGGTTGGCCCTATGGGCCTTCTTGCGTCCCCCCTGCAGGGCCTCCATGCACACGAGGCCGGGTGAGCTCTATGGGCCTTCGTGTGATTTCCCAGGGTCTTTGTGCACATGGGCTTTGGGGGGCCCTATTGGCCTTTGTTTACCCGCCCCCCCCGACCTCTGTGCCCACGGGCCCAGCAGGGGCCCTACAGGCCTGCCCTGGAGCCTCGCACAGGCCGGGTCGGCGTGCTGGGGCCACTTTGTGTCTGCTTCCCCACTCGTGTTTCAGCACTGGGGAGTTTCAGCCTTGTGGGGCTGTGTCGGGGCAGCGGGAGCAACAGCGTTGTGGGGAGCCGGCAGAGTTTGCTGGGGCCACAGTACGAACTTAGGGAGGTTAGCCTTAGACAGGCTTAGCCTTAGACAGGCTTAGACAGGCTTAGCCTTAGACAGACTTAGGCTTAGACAGACTGAGATGTGCTTAGCCTTAAAAAGGCTTAGCCTTAGACGAACTTAGATGGGTTTAGCCTTAGACAGATTTAGACAAGCTTAGTTAGACTCAGATTTAGACAGACCTAGAAAGACTTGGACAGGCTTAGCCTTATATACACTTACACAGGCTTCGCCTTAGCAAGGCTTAGACAGGCTTAGTTAGACAGATTTAGACAGGATTAACTTTTGAGAGACTTAGACAGGCCTAGTTAGACTTCAATTTAGACAGACTTAGGCTTAGACAGGCGTAGCCTTAGACAGATAGGCTTAGCCTTAGAGAGACATAGGCTTAGTTAGACAAAAATTTAGACAGACTAAACAAGCTTAGCCTTACACAGACTTAGACAGTTTGCACCTTACACAGACTTACATAGGCATAGTTAGACTTACATTTAGACAAACTTAGGCAGACTTAGACGTGCTTAGCCTTAGACAGACTTAGATAGGCTTACTTCAACTTAGACTTGGACAGCCCTTAGACGGGCTTACACAGGCTTAGTCTTGGACAGACTTTGAGAGGCATATCCTTAGACACATTTAGACAGGATTAGCCTTAGACAGACATAGGCTTAATTAGACAAAAATTTAGACAGACTTAGCCTTGGACAGACTTAGCAGGCTTACCTTAGGCAGACATAGGCTTAGTTAGACTAAAATGTACACAAAGGCCCGCTAAGCTGTACACAGATGTAGGCTTAGTTAGACTAAGATTTAGACAGATTTAGATAGGCTTAGCCTTACATAGGCTAGATAGGCATAGTTTAACTTACATTTAGAAAAACTTAGACAGATTTAGACATGCTTAGCCTTAGACAGACTTGGACAGGCTTAGTTAGACTTAGCCTTAGACAGACTTTAGACAACCTTAGCCTTAGGTTGAGACAGGCTTAGCCTCAGACAGACTGAGACAGGCTTAGTTATACTTAGATTTAGACAGGCTTAGTTAGAGTTAGATTTAGACAAACTTAGGCAGGCTAAGCCTTAGACAGATTTTTACAGGTTTAGCCTTAGATATATGTAGGCTTAGTTCCTTAGA